TCATTTGGCCCCATGCGAGGAGTTACAATTGGACGGACGAATAATATTATAACTAATAATAAAGTCTTCGGTATCTGGGGGGTATTGCATTAAATACCTCTTTGTCAAGCACCGTTCTCTGGCCACATTTAAACAACTAACAATCAACCTGTTAATTCTTCGATAACAAATTTTTAAACGAACTAAATTTTATAAATACTAGAACTGTTAGTGAGAGTGATAACGAATGCAATTGATAAAGTCAATACAAACACTTTCTGTTTTCATTCTTTTTCGTGGGTTTTCGTGAAAACTTGTCCAATGAAATCTGATAAAAACTATAGAAAGTCCTAAATGTTTGCTTAGTATTTGTAAATAACTTCTTTTAAGTACCTCAAGCTCTATGGAAGTCAATAAGAAATAGGCGAAATAGGTTGGTAGGACACCTTCTCAGGCATGAAGGGTTAGTCAGAAGCATATTAGAGGCAGAAACAGGAGTTAAGAGGAGTAGAGGTAGACCTAGATCAGATCACTACTCGCAAATAGTTCAGGACGTTTGACGTTCTAGTTTTAGGGAAATGCGAAGATTACCTCAGGATAATAAATAGTGGAGGTGCGTCTCCAACCAGTCTTAGGGCTGACGACTTTATGATGGTGAAATACCTAAAAGTGATTCTAAGAACAAAGAATTTCGAGAGCGAATTTTTAATTAGCAAAATAACCTAAATAGAAAATTCAACATTCCTTACTCCTGAGATAAACAGACCACATACTTTTAGTCAACTAAAACCAAGAGAAATAAAAATTTTTTTTGCAAAAGTTACAAAAGTTTTAAAACAAATAAAGTTAATAAATTACCAAAAGCAGTTCTGTTTATTAAAGAAACGTAATTGCATGGTAATTTTCAAAAACTTAGCAATTTCTTTTACTTGATGGTTGTGGAAATTTATCTGAAAATTCTAAAAGTATTTTTTTCTAGATGGCCCGTGTGTTATTCCATGTTCAAATCATTTCGGTTAGTAGCGATTAGTGAGACACAGTCTTTTTAGCGATTTTTTTAATGAAAATTATATTTTCAGACAGTCAAGTTAAGAATAAATTATTGAAGATTCATACTCATCAAATAAGGCTTCATTTGATTAGAAGTGTATTATTAGTGTTAAATTTAATATTCAGACGAGCTTATCATCTTCCCTGTTTTGCAATAAGTAATAAAATAATATTATTTTATCTGAAATCTGTTTGTGTTAATTGTTTTCGCTATTAAGGTTAACCATTTCAAGAGTTTATAATCTTTCTGTATCAATGCTTCGTAAAAGACTTTCATTCCCTTTGTAAAAGTACCGATCCGATCTCACTAAATAGGGCACTTTCAGAAAATCCACATGACCCTTGGCATTAAAGACGTCAAAGCAGAAACTGGCTTGTATTCATTGCTGCGGAATGGCGTAGACTACCGGGCAGCCATTACATTTTCCCTATACTTCTAATTTGTAGGGAAAGTCTTTCTTAAAAAATTAATTTCATATTCTACCCACCCATATGCACAATTATAATAATAACGTGTAAATAACAAATATTGCATAT